TCTGGTTTACACAAAGAATCCCATCTGCACCTGCTCTCAGGGTAATTCCACTTTCTGGAATGTGAGGTGAGACTAAACCACCTTCTTCTCTTCAGTGGTCAATTTGTTACAAAGGCCCTCATCCTTTTCAGGGGKTTATAAATTGCAGGTAACTCACACTGTAATATTTGTGTGTGTGAATTTATACACACAGTTTCATTCATCTTGATGCTAAGCCTAAAATTCTTAAACTGTTTCCTGGCGATTTTTTGGACTCTGTTTAACAGTTTTTGCCTGAATTTGCTCAGTGCAGCCAGAGCTGTTGGTGAGAGTGGTCCCAGTCCTTCTTGCAGGGCTGATGTGGCCACAACCACCACAATTCCACAATTCCAACTTCCTGGGCAGTTTTCTACCAAATCCCATTCTTTATCTGTGCTCTTGCAGTGTTCTCTCCTGTCTCAAGCATTTCAGTGCTGTTCCTCGTGTTGTTTCCCTTAGTATTCATATTCATATTCATATTTTTTCAGTGTTGGCAGGTGTGTATTTCACATTAACACGAGGGGTTTTTTGGATGTTAGACTGCTATTTGCTTATGGTAATTTCCAGTCATCATAAGGTGACTGTTGAGAGAGATGAGCAGAGAGGAAAAAAATTGTCAGGCATTTACAGTAAATACTCTCTGCTTTTGGAAACGCTGTCAGAAGTTTAATTGTTAGGTTCAAGTAAGTTTGTCATGTGCCAGACAGAATCAGTCTGCTGTAATGAACGGGTTACGCACTTCACCAGCAAAAAGGGAGAGTGAGAAACCAAGGGATGCTCAGGATTTCCTGTCACCTTGCACTGCAGAAGGAACAGGGGAGGCTTTTTAACCTAGCCTGTAATTAGGTTTTGCATGGAAGCATATATTACTGTGCTTGCTTTGCCAAAGCTCTTCAGTATGATGGATGAGATTTAAAGGTTGATCTGACTAAATTGCAATGAGAATACTAACGACAAAGATATTTCTGTTGTGAACTATTCCTACCAGACATCATAGCTGTGACAGAAATGGTGTAAGGTAATGGACAATAAAAGTCACTGGAAAATAATACTCTCCTAGGATTGGGCTGCCTTCCCCAGAGCACATACCCTGAACCACAGTGATAATGTAATCATAAGCCCAGATCATCATTTAAATATATAGGTAATCTCATCGAGTATCCTGGCAGATTTATTTTACGAGCAAGTAAGGGGAAGGATATTATTGGGCAGTGGAGAGGAAGCAAGTGGTGCTGATGTGGTTGTGTTTATTGTGTCAAACAGTTTGCATTGCTCCAGTCTTTGGGGAGCCCAGAGTGAGCAGCTCCCAGGGCATCCCAACCTGCTGGGACCTGCTGGCTGTGCTCTGCTGCATTTCAGTCACTCACAGCTCCCTGTGTGTGCTCAAAGATGGGCATTTGTGCAGCACGGAAAGTCATGTACTTGACTGTTTTTAAGCAACTTCTAGATTTCTGGAGCTTGCTTAAGACTTACCATTTTCCTTTGTTTTACACAAGGTAAACAAAGCTGCCTGGTCCCCCCCAAGTCCCTGGTTAGCGAGAGGATATGAGAGGAATATGGTAACTGAGTGGGAGAGCAGAATTCTGTGTGTTACACATCTGTGCTGTAACACTCAGGTACATGTATGTGTGTGTATATATATATATATAAATATGTGATATATATATATATATGATATGTATATGATATATGTATGATATAATATATATATTATATGTATGATATAATATATATATGATATGTATATGATATATATATGATATATATATCTCTGTTTGACAGAATAAACACAACCACATCAGCACCACTTTCTTCCTCTCCACTGCCCAGTAATATTCTTCCCCTTGCTTGCTCATAAATTAATCTGTGTGTGTGTGTGTGGTGGGCAGCAGCAGGGCCGAGCACAGGGCACACACAGCAGCTGGTGTGTCTTGCAGGAAGGTGAAAAGTGCTGGTACAGGAAACGTTGGTAACACTGAGCACAAGCTGCTGCTTTGCTGCCTGCTCGAGAGGTGCGTGGTCCTGTCATGTTGATTATACATCTGGGAGCAAATGCTTTGGCCTGCAGTTGGGTTGGAGGCATCCCGAGACACATGGTGATACCCGATCAGACTGGTCACAGCTGCTTTGCCAGGAGCACCCGGGGCACCGGGGCGGCTGGCACTGAATGCAGGATGCTGATGAGCTTCTGCTCCTTAATGAGTCTCTCATAAATAATGATCCTGGCCTTTGCTACCGCCTGCCCTGGGCTCTTCTGCCCTGAGAATCCCACCTGTCAGGTACCTAGGAGGTACCGTGGGTTTGCTGGGGTTTTGTGTTTTGCTCTCCACTGGTTAGAGATGAGGTGTAAGGATGCTTGGGTACCAGAGAGAAACTGCAGCTGGGGGAACTGACTGCACAACAGGGTGTTTATTTTCCCTGGCTTTGGAAAAACTCCAGGTTACCTGTGAGTGCTGCTGCATGTAGCAATAACTGTWCAGCAAAAAGGTGACAGTGGTTTGGGAGAAGGAGCTGCTCATCCCATGTGCATTGTGGTCATATTTCCTGTGATGTTAATGATGATCCTGTTCTTTTATTCACTTTCTGGAAAGATGCATGATGCTTCATGCAATTTAAAGATGTTTTGATTTACAGTCATAGTCAAGGCTCAATGTGAAAATGTGTGATCCTGCAAAACTTGGTAGGAATTATGGAGGCACGAATTAAAGAGCCTGCCACTTGAGAAGGAAAAGTGCAGAGCTAAGACAATATACAGTAAAAATGTGCCAGTTTTAAGAGAGTACCTTTTCTGACATAGTGAAGTACCTTTGTGTTGTTGGCCTCTATTTGAAGATCTGTGAAGCATCTTCCTAGGGATTCCCCTTCACTCCTGTGCAGTGCCAAGAGCCCGGAATAGCTGAGCTGACAGCCAGGGGAGGACACGCTGTCCTGAGGTGTCAGCGGTGTGGCACTGTCATGTGAGCTCTGCTGGGTCTCTTTTAAAGCTGGGATCCTGTGGAGCTCAGGGCACAGGAGCTCTGTGTTGGTAGCAGGGTTTGCTTTATGTGTCTGGACTCAGAAGCAAGAGAGCATGTGGCTCTCCCTTCAGGTAAACTGCCCTTTTCCAGATYTTGAATAATAAAATAATTAACATAGTTCCAGCAGTATAACATAAGGTAGGAATTTCATAGGACACTTTCATGTTGATATTAAGAGACATAGTTTTATCTGAGTATCTTCACCCAATGCTTGAGACTGAGAGAATCTCAAAATTCAACTTCTTCATATTAACAGTGATTCTCCTTCTCCCACTGGAGTTTCAGGGTACTGACTTTAAAAAATGGGTTTTATTGTTCACTTGTTTAATGTAACAGGAACTGCAGCTCTTTTGTCTAGTGAGTGTTTGTTGGAATGAAAGTTCATTTACTTGAGACGCCAGAAGAGCTGCTCTCTGCTTTCCCCTGTGTTGTGGTAGCTGGTGTTGGGAAGGATCTGCCAGGGCTAAAGGCTTATTTCACAAACAACTGTTAAAAGAACTGAGCACAACTTGCTACAGAAATTCTTCTKCATCATATTTTCTCTCCCACTCCCACAAATATTTAAAATACCTTTGTATTTTAAATTAAGACTTAGTCATTGCCCAAGTGCCAGGCRTGCACTATTAATACCCTAATGAGGTCAGGTTGTGTTCTTTCACTGAGTGAATACTTGCCAAAACTCTTGAAATAAGTTTCTGCAAATGCTTGTGTTGGCCACTAAATCTTCCCTTGTCACCATTAGGCTGCAGTCGGTGCCAAGGACGGGAATGGCAGAGGGTGTGGGTRAGGGATAACCAAAATTTGTGTCTGGCCCTGTGTGGGGAAGGGCCATGAGTGTGTTATTGTGGGTGTTCTGTAAATGCTGGGACTGTATTTTGGGGCCTGGCTTTGCTCAGACAGCGCCTGACCCAGAGTTKKTGTGGARCAGAAAGTGCTGTGATCCTGAATAGCTGATAGAATTACCAGGGTTTGTCCCTGAGTCAGGCTTGAACATCACTGGTCCAAGGATGGGGTTTGTTTCCTAGAAGGGCTGGAGGATGTGGGTGTGTTCAGCCTGTGCAGGCAGAGGATGTTCTGAGAGCAGCTCAGCCCAAAACCCGCAGTTCCCTGGCACTGTTGGCCACGGTGCTCCTGCAATCAGTGCACAGCTCTGTGCCAGAGGAGAATTAGTTAATCTGGGATCACAGTGCTGGTCCAGCACTGGAATGTCTCAGCTGCCTGATGGGCAGCTCTTTACAACTCCTGCGTGTTCTGGTGCCATTTTTGAAGGGGAGCAGCTCTCGTTTCCGATCGCTGTGTTGGACTGGCCTGAAACTGCAGCAAAGGAATTCATTCATGGGCATTTCCCTTGTTTGTGTGTTGTACCTGTAATATTTCAGTCTTATTGCATCCAATATGGTTTCTAGCTCCTGCTTGCTGTGTCTTGCCAATCTGCAAAACTTGTAATTTGAAGGTTGGGAAGAAAGAATGTGGATAAATTTTTGCTGTCTTYGACCAAGGAAGCAGCAACAGTCTGGAGGGACTTTCTGTTTTTGTTTTACAAATAGAAATGTGCTGATGTTTCTGGATGTCCCCTGAGTCACTGGGGACATGAGTCCTTGGGGATGTGACAGTAGCCACTGTTTCGGGTGACACAAGCAGGGTCACTGAATCGAATAAACACATTTTCTGCTTTTATGTTTATTGTGAAGCAGTACCAGCAGTGTTTGTGATGGTGGTTTTGTTTGGTAGTCCCTGGAGGTGGGTGGCTGTGCCCTGTTGTGGCTGTGCCATTTCTGGGCCCTTTCAGTGGCTCTGCTCTGCTGTCAGAGCCCARTGAGAGCTGAGATTTGGGGTTGTCTCGGGGCTGTGTGAGTCAGGATTCGGTTCCTGCTGCCTGGAACAGCCACTTGTAGGCACAGCCCAGGCAGAAATCCTCTCCTCCCAGGCAGGGACCAACCAACCTCTCCCTTTCTTTGCCTGCAGCAGAACCGAGAGGCACAGTTTGGTATGATACCATGGAAGGGCAGCACAACCACCCTCATCATCTCGGGGACCAGAACAACCCTCTGTGCAAGCTGCCAGGCCAGGAATTCCAGCATGACCCTCAGGTAAGTGCAGGTGTCTAGTCTGTCTCCTCCTGTCCTTTCATCCCTTCATTCTATAAASGTCTCTGATTTCTTTGCATTCAGCTGCCTTTGGCCCTCCTCCTTTTRGTTTTAGTGCAGTTATAGTGGTTTTAGGGGATATCCAGTTTGAGATTATGCCAGCCAGCCAGAGTTTCCTGAACCCAGCTTTTTTATTACAATAAGAGAAAAAGGAAATAGTTTGAATTTTGCTTAAAGCAAGTGCCTTTAAACCGTTTTACAAAAACATGCTGTGTTGGCTTTGTCTTGTTTTGATTCTTTGAAGGAAAGGCCAAAATAAAATAGATGATTGTATAAGTGAATAATTGTATTTTATCTCCTTTTATAGTTTCATAATAAGTGCTGAAGAAGTAATTGCCAAATCAAAGAAAAAGCTCATCCTTTGTGGAACTGTAGGCTGCCTGTGAGTCTCTGGAATCCATCCTGCAATGCATTTTGCAGAGTATATTCCATACTATAGTGAAGTTTCACTGTAGCAGCTCCTCTCTCTTTCTGCAGAGGGGAGCTAAAACCAGGATTAACCCACAGTCTGTGTAATCAGGAAACTGGGATTTTGTGAATTCTGGCTGGTTGCCTTTTCAGCCTGTTGCTCTGTTGATCAGAGCAGCTCGGTTGTGCCTGTGCTATTTTAAGGAGTAACCCAAAAGCTTGGTGGCAAGCTGTCAGAAAGGAGAGTGCTGTACCTGTGGTGTGATTGTGGGAGGGTCTGGGGGATCTTTGTCATTCCCAGAGGGGATCAGGATCCGGGGAAATCTCTGCCAGTGCCCAGGACAGGCTCTGCAAAGAGAGGGAGCTGCCTGCACACAGGGAATGCACTGCTGGGAAAGTACTGTGGTGTGGAGCAGAGCCCCCTCTCCTAATGCAGCAATTTGTCATATTAAGTCATTTAATAATAATTGAATCCCCTTGATTAATCTCCTAGAATTAGCCAGTTGCATTTTGAGCAATTAGGGTTAATTACTGCCTCATTTGGCAGGATAGTGCCCCTGTAATTATTTCAYGAACAAGATTAGGAAGTGTTCCTGTGCAGCAGATACATTCATGGCATCTTGGAGCACATGTTAGAATTTGTAATGACATAGTTAAGTGTAATTAGTAGCTAATAATCTATGTTCTGCTGTGATGCTGATGCTGAGTGGGCTCATTTTGCTGTGTGGTCATTGTTCAGTGAAACCTCCCCTCAACTCTGCTAATACCCAACTTGTGTTAATGGAGGGCTCTGTTAAACTGTTCTGAGAGTGATCTAATTTGGAATTAGAATTGCAGGAAGACTTTCTTTGGTTTTGCTGTCAAAATAACATAGAAAAACCCAAATAACAAAACCATATAGTCTACCACGGAACTGGAAAAAACATATTAAAAAAAAAGGTACTGTTCAGAGTGCAGGCTGCCTTACATTGGTGGCTTGATARGGTTGCTGATGACATATTTCTGATTATCCATTTTTCAGGAGTGTTATTTACGTATAATTTTTCAAATCTCAGCTACTTTTTTGTCTGTTGGAAGAATCTGAAATGGCATAATTCCTTTCTTTCGAAAATCTGAGTAATGCAGATGTGGTGTAATGGTTTGTGGAAGGGAGGGAGGTTTGGGAAGATAGAATTGACCAAGCTGGTCTTACAAGGAATGTCATTTATGGCAGAGATAAAAACTTAAGCAGAAAAAAAACAGAACATGAGGAGTGTTGGATGAGGCAGGGACTTTGTATGTAGTGGCCTTCCCTTCCTTCCAGCCCTCCATCCAAAACTGTGCCAGTCCCCAAAAGAGCAGAGCAACAACACAACCTGCTCCTCTCCCAGGAACTTTTCCTATAATTGTGCTGCTTCCTGGAGCCTTTTCTTCCTTCTGACAGAGGTGTTGTTTCTGCTTTACAACTCATCAGTACAGAGCTGTGAGTGAGTGTGTCAGGCTTTTCTTTCTGTCTTTAACAGCTGTAAAGATAAAGATGAAATCAGTGAGTAATGCTGGATTAGTTAGAAGTTACCTGTAATACAAAAAAAAAAATCCAATAAAATCACAGATTTGGCTTTTGGCTCCCTTACCTGCCCAGAGATACCCCAAGGATGTTCATCAGCAAGAGGAAGAACACGTTCTGGTGATGTTCCAGAGTGAAGGTGTTAATTGTTTAAGTCTCTAGATTACTTAGGATTTATAGCAGTAAGCAATGAAAGTTATTTAGGAGTAAATCAGTGATATAAAAATATAGAGTTGTAATTTTTCACTTAGTTTTTCTACTAAATAAACACAATAACTCACTTTTAAACAACTCTTTTATATACTCACAGCTTAGTGGCAGAGCTGCTGRGAGTATTTCTGTGGTAATTTTAATTTTTTGAGTAACATCTTGTTCTACTGTTTCCAAGCTGGTGCTTCTCTCTTTCCTTGTAATGTTCTAGTACCAGTGTCTAGATAGATACAGAATATCTGGATATCAGGATAGATCCCCATCATGCTGAGACTTTAAAACTTMAGCCAAGTTMTTYAGCAAACTTTAAATTCCAGGTAACRGGTCAAGTGAARGATATTTTAAGATGACTGTGTAGTGTAATTTTGAAGCTCAAATTGAAAATCCTGATGTATTCTTCAATAATTACTTGGCTACCTGTTTGAAGGATAATCCATATTTTAAAAGTTTCCTCATCTCTTGCGAGCTTAGAARTTCTTTCTTTAATCAATCGGTTCTRATGTGTTCCCATAAATTCACACTGGAATTTCAGCCTCAAAGTATGCAAAATTCTTYTCAGGTAGGCATTTTTGAATGGGGSCAGGTGTATAATTTTGGACATAGTGAAAGGGTTTGAAATGCTGATGTTGATAGTAAATCATTGCTTGTAATGTGTGCATGGGCTGCTGGGGGGGTGGAGCTCCCCATTACTMCTGCAGATGTCTTTTAAAGGTGAAATTAGTTACAGTAAATGTCACTCAGATGAAGTATGCACTTTAGAAGCAAGGAAACCATTCYTTTAAAATTAATGATGCATTGCAAATATCAGAAAAAAAACCTTATATCCAGCGTAAAGATAATTAAAATTCAGGTCAGAAGTGTATGACTTAGTCGGGCTAAATTTTTTAATGAGATTTCAGAAAATTAATTGGGCGAGTATGTTTTTACTCTTCTAAAGAATATTTCATTTCAGAGCTCTACAGGAAAGATGCTTTTATTGGCATCTGAAGATTGTGCTGTCTGACTTTTTAACTGTTGGTTAACCAATCTTAACAGTTTTTAGGTTGATTACAAATACTCTAAATGCCTGYAGCCCTTTGTGCAGGGCTGACTGGTGCCTGTTTCCCACATGCCAATCAGCACTAAAACAACTGGTTTATTATTAATTAACATTAGCACTCTGGGTTTCTTTGCTGTGCAATTAGCAGTGAATATTCCCCTTTCTCAGCCCATTCAGGCTGGGATTTCTTGTTCCTCTGGAGCAGCAGAGGGACAGGCCTGGTTCTGTACTGGGGCTGTATTTAGGATATTTAGGATATTTTTCTTTCCACTCTCAGGGTGCTCCTTGGCCCCAAACAAGGGGTTAGAGACTGCTCCCACGATTATCTTGGGGCTATTCAGGTTTTCCCAGATCTTCAGTAATTAAAAAGAGGTAAATTTTTTGGCCAAACACAAATTGTTCTGGAAATTCAAAGTCTTTCTACAGAACAGTTTTTTCATATTCTTCCCTATTCCAAAACACAAATTCTGAGCTGGACAACTACTCATTAAGAAAAATAAAATACAAGAGAGGTGTTCAGGRTGTGTGGCTGTCCTACCTGCATGTACTTAGCATGATAACTGAAGCTTTTATGTCATTGGGGTTTTTTAGTATTATGAAGCCTTACCAATTCTGTTTTGCAGAAAATCTTGGAACACCTCAAAATCAGAGGCCAAAAGCCCTGGCAAACTTTCCCTGAAGTTCTGTGACTTTGCCAGCTTTGGAATTTGTGTTCTGGCACCAGTGGTGCCATCTCACAGAGTGCATGTATGTATGCCAGAGGAGATGTCCAGAAGAGCTTGTTCTTGGAATAATCTCTGCATTTCTTCTTAAAAATGAATGGCCTTTTTATTCACATGAGGAATTCTTTGGCTTTAATCTTTGGCTTTTTTTTTGAGTAGGAGAAGAATGAGACTTCTTTGTGTGGATGAAGAGAACAGCCTTTGTCTCAAAATAAGTTCTTCCCAGACTGGGCCCTTCCTATTGCTGCCCTGGAAACAGAAATGTGTAAACAGCCCAATTTTCATAGTGTCCAGTGGTTGGKTTTCTTTTTGCTTTGTTGKKTTTTTCTTTCCTCTTTTTATTTAGTTTTTTTTTYAATTCAAGCTCCATCATTGACCTTGAAACCTGATCTAGGCAAGGGCTTGATTTACTTATGGAAACCTGAGCCTGAACTTGTCCTAAAAATGAGAAAATCTACTTTTGATGGACAAGTTTGAAGATGATGGAGGYATCTAAGTACACACAATTTCTATCAGTACGTGAAAACTCTGAGGCTTGCAGAAATAAAGATCATGGCTTATTTGAATGAACAGGGGTTGATTCTTTGCCAGCTTTTTGGAAAAATTATAATGTTTAATTGTGGAAGTTGTAATCAGGGGAGTCCCCCCATGTCAAAAGTCATGAAATGTGTGAAGGGGTGCACTCTGAGAAGGCAGAAGTTTCTTCTCTGTGTCCTTATAACAATATTTAGCAGAATTTCCTGCTTCATTCACATACAGCAAAGCACAAGAGAAGGATAAGTTTAAACTAAAGGAGAGTGGTCTGTGATCAATAGGGAGCTTTGTGGTACTGTTTGGTCTAAGCTGAGGAGGATTCTAGGTTTGTCCCCTCATCAAACATCTCTGGCCTCTCTGAAAGCTCCRTTACTTTAATTAGCTCTGATAGGTTGTGCTAGCCCATGCAGATCTAGGTCATTGCATATGGAAATGTGCAGCTGCAGTGCTGGTGGTGCCGGAACACATCAGCAGAGGTGTCCAGGCATGGGCAGCATCAGCCCAGCACCAGCAGCTCAGGGACTGGGACACTGCCCCTTGAACTTGTGTAACGTTCACGTTTTCAAGTTCAAAAGTTGGTAGATGTTTCTTGGCACATGCTTGAAATATTAATTTACACTTAAGCACTCTTGCTATAAACACACAATTGATTAAAAAAAGGGCAAGTGGAAATTACCTTTGATTTCAGTGTGGATTTCTGTCTGAAAAATAAAGTTTTGTAGTAGTTGCCTCATAAAATGTTAAAAGTGCTGCAGGTTCTAAGGCTGGACTGGAAGCTTTACCTGTGCTTGAAATCTCAGTTCCAGCCCTCTCCTGCTGCATTAGGAAATGACAGTGGTGGCAATAGTCATTCCCTAAAGCACACAGCCCTCCTGGGACACTGGGGCCAGGATTGGCTGCTCCAGGCTTGGCTGTAGGCTTGGCTTAACCTGGGAACCCTTCCCCACCCCCAGCCTGGGTCAGGAACTTCTCATTTGATGGTTTTTGATGCAAACTCTGAAAATGGCTCAAGATGCTGAAACTTGAAAATGTTCTACTTGGCACATGGGGTAACTTTGAGTAATTAATTTTCATAATTTCTTTTTTAAACATTGTTTGGCAGCCGTGCTAATTACAGAGGAGACCAGAAGGGCTCTGGGGAGCAATCTCAGTCCATGGGGTCTGTGTTTCTTGTTAGGCTGGGTCTCCCTGYCTGCCTGGGTGTTTACCTGGGACTGCTCATTGCACCATCAGCATCTCCCCAGTGACACAGGCAGGCAGAGCTGATGAGAGGCTGTGCAACCAGGGAGAGCAGTTTGGGACTAATTAATTACTTACATGAAGGCAAGACTTGAATTCCCTTTTTTTGAAGAAGTCATTTGGCTTCGTGCAGCCTGTGTTAGTGATCCATCTGGAGGAATGAATGCATTTGTGGTCAGACTGKTGTGATCAGCTGAGGTTTAACCCTCACTGAGAGCAGGAGTGGTTTTTGCAGGTCCCTGACTGATTTTTCCTTTGACAGAGACATTTAACGTCGTACCCGTATCGCTGCACCTTGGCAGATTTTCAGATTGAGAAAAAGATTGGACGAGGCCAATTCAGCGAAGTTTACAAAGCAACTTGTCTGCTGGACAGGAAACCTGTGGCACTGAAGAAAGTGCAGGTGAGCATTTTAGTGCAGAGTCTCTTCATTCCAGTTTTAGCTCTGCCAGATGATTTTGGGGTAGGTGACCCTGCCCTGCAGGGCTTTGTCCCTCATCGCCTGCCAGTGGGTTCCTGTGTCCAAATCACACTTATGTAGCAGTAGTGCCATTTCATATTTCTGTTAAATTGCAACTTTTACTTTATGAAAAAGGTTCCCCAAATTGTTTTGAAATGTGTGAAACAGTGAGGCCCTGTGGCTGTGCCATGAGGAGCTGCCATCCCAACACAGCTGAACGTGGGGACATGGAAGGGGAAAATGCTGGAGCTTGCTGGTGGAGTTGGAGAAGAATTTCTGAAAACTTGGATGCCAGAAATGTAGACTTTTAAAACTTGGCTGAAAGTATTGGGTGGTGTTCAGAAYAGCATTTTGTTTGGAGAAATTTGCCTTTAATTCTTCAACAGATTCTCCAAACTCTCATTTCTAGTGACTTACTGAGTATTGAAGAATGAATATTAATGCTCAATGTTATTGTTAGTTATTACAGAGAAATCAGTAGAATTTGCTATATYCAATTAATAATAACAGCAGCAAATTCACAAACTTGTATCTTTATTTTTTTGTGCTGCTTACAATATTGCCTACGGGTTCTAAAATTAGTTTACCCCAATGTTATCCCTGTAGTGGTTTCAAAATAAAGAAAACATTGATCTTTCTTTGATCTGGGAATTGTGTGAGTACTCATTACAGTGGAGGATGTACAAATTGGGGAAGGAAACACCAACTGCTTGTTAAAAGTATAAAGTACTTTTTTTTGTTGCTTCATTTTTATCTTCTGTGTTTTTGTCTTTGAAGATTTTTGAAATGATGGATGCCAAGGCAAGGCAAGACTGCATTAAAGAAATTGACCTCTTGAAGGTAAGAATTTTTATAAAGACTTTTTCTGGTTTGTTTTTTTTTTTAATTTTTGAGAAAAGAATTGCTTTCAGGTTGGTAAATAAAGCATATGCAGTAAAGGAGAAAGCAATTTTGGCTGTACATGACATGTATTTGTGTGTATACATATCACTCATGAAAAATGATAATCTAGATAAAGGCACTGAAACCAGACTGTGTTTAAGGCATTAAAGCAAATAGTGATTTTTAATGCCTTAGTAATTTGTTTTAAATTGTTGATTAAAAACATAGATATGTTGCACTTTAAATATCTATTTTTAGTAAATGCAACAGATTGCAGAAGGCTAAAAATTTCATTTAACTAGTCAGATTTCATTCTAAAAGTATTACATAATTACTCTGTTCATGTGATTTTAGGGATTTCTGTTCAAATTCGTGCAGTTGTAGCCTGAGTCTGGTAGGCTGTAGTGAAGGATAAACACGAGCCAATTGCTCAATAGTCATGGAGAAAAATAATGCCAATGATAGCACTCAGAAAGAGGATTTATGGTTATTTTGGGTTCTAGGAAAAAATAATTCAAGTATCAGCTGTGAATATAAGTATGAGCTATACTGAAATGAAAGAAATTCGTGAAGGCACCAACATAAATGATCAGATAATAAACTGACATTGATGGAAGAAAATAACACACAAATGCACAAAGTTTTAGTTTAGCTTTGTTGTTCTTTTAAGGGGCGAAGAGATCTTGAGTACTGTAACCAACAGTTGGGATTCAGTTTCTATTGAATTGGGGTGAAAATCAGTTCTTGCCTGACAAGGATCCTTCAGGCCATTGCTTTTAAATGTTCTGCAAGTTTCTGATAGAAGAGGCTGTTCAGTGTGTTTGGGTGGGATTGCTCTTTGCTGAGGACATTTCCAYGGTGCTGTCCTGTCAGGAATTCTCTTTCTCCCAGGATTTTGTCCCAGCAGCTCAGTCTGGGCTGTGGTGCTCCCGTTGTGAACATTTTGCTCATGGGTCACAGAGRTGTGGGTGTTGTGTCTGGGACTTGTCACAGCCACATTGTCACTGTTCCTCTTGTATTCCCTTCCTCTGCAGCAACTGAACCACCCCAATATAATCAAATATTTGGACTCTTTTATTGAAGACAATGAGCTCAACATTGTCCTGGAGCTGGCAGATGCTGGGGATCTCTCTCAGATGATTAAGGTGAGGATGTGTCCGTCCTGGCAGACCCAAGGTGGTGGGGTGAGCTCAGCTGTATTAGAAGCACTTYTTTTCCTCCTCTTGCAGTTTTGCACACCCATAGGTCTCTTCCAGACCTCAACCAAAGTTCCTGGTGGCATTTTAAATACCCCATGGCCTGAGMTTCTGGTCACTGCTGCAGAGGGGAGCAAGTGTGTGTGATGTGGTGGGACACGTGTGTTATTTGCACACTCTGTGATTGATGGGGACATGTAATTCCTGTTGGCTTCACTGTTCACATCTCCTGTCTGCCACTTCGAAGACATTCAAGGAAGTGTATTGACTTTCTTTGCAATGGGGATTTGGGTTTGAGAAAATGTTTCAAGTACTTGTTCTTCTTTTATGTTGCTCTTAGGAATACTTGTATTGCTGCAAACCAGCTTTAGTTAAGCTGTTACCACCTGCTTTTGTATTTTCTTTGACATGTTAATCTTTAGACATACATCCCTTGTGAGAACAGATGTGTTATATCATGTTTGTTAGCACTCTCAACCTCCTCTCCATGTTTTACCTGGGTTTTGCCATCATTATTCTGTAATTATCATAAACGAATGTTTGGAAAGTTCTCCTCCTCCTTGTTGTCACAGTTAAAATATCTTATTAACAGATTTGTTTTCTTTGCCAGCAGAGCTTTGAGGCACTAGGCCAAAGGCTGTCAAACGAGTTACCCACTCAGTCCATAGTCAATGGCTAAATTTACAGGATCCTGGAAAATCTGCTGTGTCTGGCAGGAGAACCCCAGATTGCAGATCCAGACTCACTCTGCAGGGCAGGGCAGGGAATTCTGCCCCAGCCTGGAGCAATTGGGGCTGGGAGGGCACAGCTGCCCCTTCTGCCTGGGCAGCAGCTCTGTCTTTCCTTCTCTGCTTCCTTTTGGGGCTTCTGCTGCCTTTTTGCCCTTTTCCCACCATTTCCCAGGAAAYTTGCAGCTCATCTCAGGCTTTCTGGGATTGTGTTCCAAGATGGAAATTATCCAAGGRTTGTGAGAGCAGGAGTTAGGGCTGTGTGTGACCATCCTGGGCTGTGCAAGGGTTCTGCTGGAGTTTTCAATCTTAGCTTACAAAAGGTTTTACCTACCATATCTTAAGATTTCATTATATGAAATACTTGTATTTTTTGGTCATCTGTAGTTTTTAGTTTAAAAATACTGACAGATATGTTCATTTGCTTATTAGGGTTGGCTACTTTTCTTTAAAAAAATATTTTCTTGTCTTTACAATAAGAGTAACATTTTCCAAAACAGAACTGGTGGATTCTTAGATTGGTGTCTTGCCCAGCACTGGACTGTGCTGATTGCTGGTATCCCCAGCTCTGTGTTCCCTCTGTATTTCAGGCATGATGAAGATGCGTTTGTTTTTTCAAGGTCATATAAATGAAGTTTTTCAATTGGTGCAAATCTGGAAATCTGATTTTTTTTTTTTTAAAAAACCCTCCAAGCCCTAAACCCAACAGGGAACAAAATTCCYTGTGCATGCAGCTCCCCTGCAGCAGGGAAATTTCTCTGTGTCCCCCTCTGTCCCTGGGGAGCTGAAGCTCCAGCGTGGATTTTCAGTGGAACAGAAGTGACAGCAATAGGAGGGTGTGAAGGTGATAAAGCCAGGGCCTGTCTCTGTCACACCCCTGTGCCTGCATTATTTATGAGGGATGTAGAGCTGCAGGAAAAMCCACCGGAGAGTTGGGACTTCCTTGTAAATGTCAGGCGAACCTTATTGGACATGACATTTAGAAAATTATCACTTGTGGTCTTGCATATCCACTCTTAAATATTTTAATGAGAATTAAATAATTTTATTGTGTATATAACACTTTCTCCCTCACCCTCTGTAATTCCTGTGTGCTCTCTCTCGAGTTTTGGGTTGAGACTGTTGCAATCTGTCAGATTGCTGCCTGGGGAATTGCACAGTCGTGCCCCTTCACAACTGATCTGCAAAAGAAAATTTGCCATTACTYGAGTCAAACACGAACTGGTAACAGCATTTCACATAAAATAGAGAATGTGACAACGGACATCAGATGTCAGTGCTGAGAGGGGAAAGCAGGAATGCAGAAAGGGGCAGCAAACCATTGCCTTCCTTTGCTGCTGCTGCAGATGGGAATTCTCCTGGGTTCAATGCAAAGGAAGTGCAGCTCTCCCAGTGACACTTTGTGTGGCAGGGCAGGAGGAGCAATTTGAAACCTCTGCAAGTGTTAGAAGTGTATTTTGTTAATGCTCTGGATGAAGAGCTGGCTCAGTGGGAAGCCAGGGASCAACAATCCGAACCCTGCAGTTTTGGGATGCCTGGGTGCAGTGCCAGGCACGGCTGCTGTGCCCTCCTGAAAAGGAAGGAGAGCAGCTGAAAGTCTGGAGTGTTTGGCCTTCAGTGGAGTGTGCAGCTGGTTCTTTATTCCTGCAGAGGGTTGAAGAACCCCTCAGCATTGCAGGGAGCCAGGGCCATGCTGCACTCTGTGCTGGTGCTTTATGCTTCCCTTTATTCTGAGAGCTTTGAGCATCCAGAGGTCCCTGGAACCCCGAGCTGGCTGCACTCAGCGCTGCCCTGACACCCCCAGCAGATCAGGAGTGGCTCTGTCTCACTGGAGGGTGCACTTAATTTAGTATTCCTATTATGCATGAAATAGAATATATTATTCTACCTGATCACAGAAGAAACACGGATGCTCTGGCCATCTTTTAAAAAAGGGAAGCAGATTCCTTATCCTTGTTAGCAGACAATGCAATAATGAATGTTTACAAGGGTTTCTTAATGGTCTTTTGTTTCTTAAGGCAAAATATTTGAGACATTTGTTGTTTTGAGGCATTAAATATGTTTTGCAAGGTAATTAAGGAGATTAATGCTAATCATAATTGTGTCCATTCAAAAATGTCAAACCTATTTAAGCGTATTTTTCATAATAGTTGTTAATTAGTGAACTGCATCGAAGTTTCCACACAGAGAGGAGGAGTTAAAAGCTAATCAGAAGAAAAGTCATGCAGCTGCAGATGTGGAAGACATGAGCAACCTGCAGCTGACTAACACAATTCCAGGAACGAGTCAAATATGTTGCTTTTTTTCACTGATCTTTTATTTATTTCCTCCTGCAGTATTTTAAAAAGCAGAAACGGTTAATCCCGGAAAGGACGGTGTGGAAATATTTTGTGCAGTTATGCAGTGCAGTGGAACACATGCACTCCCGCAGGGTGATGCACAGAGGTAACATTAATTCAGTCTCTTTTCACTGAATAATAATATAATGTTCCAATTAGTAAGCGCCTACATTCAAAAACAATTATGCTGATGTTCAGCCAATGCATGTTTAGAGAGGCTGGAGCCTGYGAGATGGATTTCTCCTTCTGTCTCTGCCTTATTGTTAAAGGATTCAGGCCGAAGTGAGGGTGGTATTAGGAAGATGAGCTGCTTTGTATTCCAGACACTGATATTAAGTAGAAGTGTCAAACTTGCCATTAGAAAAGTGTCAGAAATAAAATGCTGAGACTCCTGAATACAGTGAACTCTAAGAAATAGTCTTCATTATATTAGCTCTGACCTTAGAGASTTGAGAAGAGTTTTTCTGTCTTGCAGGCTTTTCTGAAATATTAATACAAATGTGTCCCACACTCTCATAACCTGTTCTCTATTTTCATTAATTATTTTTGAATCTCTTTTCTTAGAACATCTTATAACTTTGAGCTCTATCCAAAAATTACGCTGCTGCTTTCAGTGTCAGTGAAGTGCTTTGGGAAGGACTGGACTCAGGAAATGCAAATTTCCCAAAAGGCACCAACGCCTGTCTCTGCTGCTTGTTATTTCCTTGCTCCTTTGAAGGAGTGAATTCTTCACTACATTTTTCAGCAATGTGATATCATTTTTGCTCCTTTATGCATCCCCTGATGCAGTGTATCAATTGTACCCGAATTAGGTSTGTAATTGRTGGCTGGAATGTGAAGCCTCTCACKTTGAGTCTGCTCTTCCATGAGGAAAGAGCCTCTAACTCAGKGTGACATGRCTGCTTGGGAATCTGGGGTTCTAGTGATTTCTACCCTCCATGAACCAACTGGGCTGTGTAGAGCCCAGAATTTATGGGTCTGTGGACCAGTAATCAGCTCTGCATGAGGGGATGGTGGTGGGCAGTGCAGTTTTGTGTGGAAAGTGATCGTTCCCAAAGAGAACTGGGCTCATTTCTTTCATCTCCAGCAGTTAAAGACGTTGCCTCTGTTCTCTTGAGCTGTTTCCTACGTTTTCCCTCATTGGTATTTCTTGTGTGCTGGGAAGTACACTCTGATTTTTGTGTCTGTGCAGAGCTTGAAGCTTTGGAAGACTGAGCCTATCAAAGCTCTAAAGAAACACGGTTCTGCTGGAGCCTCTTTGTACCGTGAGCGCTCCAGGCRATGCTTCTATTGCAGCATTAGAACCAAATAACCTTTTGTGGCTTTGACCTTTTACCTTTTTCTTCTTGCAGACATAAAACCAGCCAACGTGTTTATAACAGCCACAGGGGTGGTGAAGCTGGGAGATCTTGGATTAGGCCGTTTTTTCAGTTCTAAAACCACTGCAGCACATTCCTTAGGTAAGCTGGTACTTGTTAAGCCGGGCCTGCCGTGCTCTGTTCAGCTTTGCTGTTCAAACTCAGGGTGTTTGTCCTCCCRTGGTGACACGAGTGGCATTCAGGCCATGGGTACTGCATTTCCAGCCATGTGTGTTTGAGATGCTCTTGTAGGCATTAATAGGTATTTTCTGGTTTAAAATCAGTTTTTTTGTTTTTCTCTGGTAGGTTTTACAGCAAATGTAACAAATGTGGCTTTCTCACTTTGAATAACACATTTGCCTGCACTGTGCTTGCTGGAATCCAATGTTACCCCAACATCTTTTACAGCAGGTGCTGCTCAGGGCTCTGATCTGATTGGGGCTGTGACTGCCYGAGGTGGGTGAGCTGTTCCAAGCTTTCATGGCTCATCTGTTCCTAAAAGGAACTTCATTTRAAATCTGGCTTATGCTTTAAAGGTCCAGCTTTTCTTCATATCTTCCACTTATCTCAAGGTTGTCTTCCTCATTTTTGCYATTAACATTAATTCCAGTGCTATAGAAAATTGCATAGTTATACAGTTCATTTTTTAAGTCTTACAGTATAAAGTATTTCATAATTGTGTCTGTAACCTCTTGAGAGGTGGCTGATTTTCCATTTTTATTAATGGGTCTGAATTYTTTGAGTTCCAAAGGTGCTTGTGTATTAGAGCAGTGAAGGAGCTCTGRCTTCTGGTGCAGTATTTAAGCTCTTTTAAACTAATCTCTCTCAGCTGCCTTTGGAACACACACAATATTTGTTTCACTGCTTGTGTTTGTGCAATTTTGAGTGTGTCTTGTTGAATCCTTTTGTTGATGTGAACTAACTTCATTGCTAATACTGGCCAACAGCACTGGGCTTCTCAGTGCACAAGGAAGGAAAATACCTGCCTTGTTTTGTGTGTGCTTAAAAATAGGAGGCATTTCTATAGTTTACTTTCACAAAATAGGAGATTTCAGATTTCCCTTCATATCAAAAGCTGTCCTAGGATGTATCCCCACCATACCTAATAGATGAAAATAAATCCTCTTCACAGGAAGTTACAATCACATCATCTGAACAGGCCAAAATATGATCATGTCTAATTATATGATCTTATCCAGTTTGACTGCTGCACTTATTATATTAATAAGAATAAATTGGGGCTTGGATACTGGCTGCACATGTAAGCCAAGCTTGTGACCTTTAGCAGGGCTGCTCTCTCTTAATTGAGAAAGCTGGAGTAGAAGAGCTCAGTCCCTGGTGCACAAACCCTGCCTTTCCTCAGCTCACAGCATCCTGCAGACAGGTGAGAGGTGCAGGACAGGGGGAGCAGCAGTGAGTGAGGCTGCAGATGTTGTGGGAGGGATGGACACACCACCATTGCCAGCGGTTCTTGGATCCAAGAAAAAGAATATGTAACAACCAAAAAACACGCAGCCTTGAAGCTTCTATTTTTTTTTTTGTTAATTTGCCAGAGATACAAGTTTAGTAGCAGCAGGAACTCGACTGAGGGTGGGTTTGGTTTAATTGAGACATTTGTTGGAGGCTCTCTGAGGGATGAACACCCCACACCAGAGCGTGGTACCCGCACGGACCGGGCTGCGGCTGCGTTACCCCGGCAACCGCCCTCAACCATCATTTCTCTGGCTGCTGACCCATGAATTGAATGTGCAGCTTATGCAAATATATTCATCTCATTTCTCCCTTTGGTTGTATTTGCTAGCAGCAGACTGGCATGAAAGGGCATCAGGCAGTCCCGACCCGGCTGACAGGTGTAGCAGGGGCTCGGCAGCGCCCGCCGCCGCSGCGGCAACGGAGCCGTAATTAGAGCAAGGAACAGAATGAACGTCAGATGAATTACCAGGCAGCAGATCATATTTGTCAGGAAGGATTGCATACATAAAAATTAAGTGACAGTACATGCCGGGGTAATGAAAGAAAAATGAAAGATTTGCCTGTACACAGCTCGTGAGATGCTGGCGAGCGCCGAGCTCCGAGCGCCGGGAGGAGCAGGAGAGGCACCGGGGCAGGCACAGACCTTGGGGCAGGGAAAGAGGTGAACCTGCAACAGCTCCTTGGCTCTGACCCTGCAACAGCTCCATGGCTCACCTGCCACAGGGCAAATCTGGGCACCTCCAGCCTCCTGTGCTGCTGGCAGAGGCAGCACTGACTGGCTGGGGCTCTGCGAGTTCACAGGGTGCCACCTCATCTGCCGCTTCCCTTTTTCCCTTGAGAGAAGACAGGAGATGCTTTTCCAGAGCTCTTCCTGCACAAGCCTCACCAGCAAATTCATGTTTTAAAGGTACTGGGCATAGCTAAGGTGAATTTTGCTACTTGTTACAACATGGTGGTTCACCATCCTTCCCTGATTTTTGACTTTGGAAACTTAACATTAAGCTGGTAGAGCTTGTCTTGCTAACCTACAAGTGTGGGTGGAGARTGTGAGCCAGGTGAGAGATCCAGAYTCTCATTTTCCAGCAGAATTGCTTCCCTGTGTGTTTGCACCATCAGGTAGCACTAAAACATACTCAGATTGTTGTTCATGTTAAAGCTAAGCTAATAGTTCTGGAAAAACTTCATTACTATTTGAAAATCYGGGCAGTTTTTTATTTTTCATGGAGACATTTGAAAAGCCTCAACATACACAGTCTATAAAAAAATACCTGGAAATATTCACTGATTTCAAGTGTAAAGCGTGGGAGAGCCTTTGCTGTGCCAGGCTTGTCTGGGGTACATCAAATTCASTGAATGAGAGTCTGAGAGAGCCTCCTAAAATTATCAATCAGATTTCTCCTGGTTGTGCCCAGGAGCAGCTCGGGATGAGTTTTGTAGGAAGCTGAGCTGTGTTCGCACATAGGAGAGGAATTTGAATTTCATTTCTGGAATAACTTTGCCATCTTTGCCTTTGTGTTTTCCTGGTGAAATAAGAGACTCTGCCCTAGTGTGAACTGGCAATAATTACCATTTCCCTGCCGTGGATGTTGTAGCTGCCCAGGGCAGTGCTGGGAGAGCAGGAGTGCTCTGGTATCACTGAAGTGGCTGATGTTCAGGTGAAGGGTTTCAGCTTCCAGCAACAGAGCAGAAACTCCTTCCTATGGTTTTGTGACCTTTATAACTTCAAATGCATTACTCCACCACCTGGAGAGTAATGCTGAATCTGAGCRATATTTTGTTTTTTCAGCAGGGCAAATGCTGAAGAAAGTTTCTGATTAATAGTCTCCGATTAGACTGTTCCTGTCAAATTGACTAATGGGATGCAATGGCGAGCCCCGACTGATTGCACTGGAAGCCTTGTGCAGTTTTCTAGAAGATGCTCATTACAGGAGATTCCCACRTAATGTTGGACAGGCCATAAAGAGAATTGGCCTTGTCAGTCTTTTATCATGACAGTTATTTAAAAATTAATGCATCAGTTTGGAAACGCAGGGACCTGCTTGTTTGTCCATTTGCTGACAAGACTACAGTAATGATAGGTAAATGTGCAAGGTGGGCTCCAC